ACTTTCTCAATAATTAAAACTCGATGGCGATACATGAGTACTAACGTTTATACACCACCTCTCATTTCAGACTGATGCAATGAATAAATGGACGAGGAACCAGTCAGATGCATTTACAAATGATTGCATTTTATTTATCTTATTTTATTTATATTTCTCGAGAACAAGGAAAAGTGTTGTTAGCAAGGGTCTGATCTTCCTGGGGTTATAGTGCATGATCGTGCTGTTTTTGCAATATGATCTTTAAAAGGTCAGCTGATCATCAAGGATCATTCCAAGATTCCTGGCCAAACTCAATGGGATTGTTGTTGATGAGCCCAGTTGGATGGTAAACTGGTGCTGTACTGATGGGGTGGATGGGAAGATGATAAGCTCTGTCTTTGAAATGAGAGGTAGAGCTGCATGCCATCAGTATAGCAATGGTACGAAAAGCCATGTGCCTGAATGACGGGTACTGGTGATGTAGTGTGTATAGAAAAGAGGAGGGGTCCAAGGACTGATCCTTGAGGAACCCCAGTGACCAGTTGATGTGATTTGGATACCTCTCCTCCCCAAGACACCCTGAAGGACCTACCTGTGAGGTAAGACTCAAACCAGTGGAGTGCAGTTCCCGTGATGCCCAGCGATGAGAGGGTGGACAGAAGGATTTGATGATTAACCGTCGAATGCAGCAGATAAAAAAATTGGACTCAGCCGATTCAAAGCCTATACAGCATGCATTTGGCTTGAAATTGAAACTACGGTGGTACAGTTTGCCACTTAAGCGCAAATTAACAGATAGCAAAAAGTATTTTTGTAGATTCTAATTACAGCTAACGGCAAACAACATGCACAATCAGCATAAAACAACTTGAAATGTAATAATTAAATTTTACATATATATATATATATATATTAAGTATTTTGGGAAGATGATATTTTACTGTAAAACCTGAACTAAGTTGCCATGTCATAGAAAGGAAAAATTATCTGATTTTTACTGACTTACTGACCTTCAAAGTCACGAGGGTCTGCAGGGGTCCTCTTTAAAGATATAATTTCCTATTCTTGTTCTGTTGTCTTCATTAAGTTTTCATTGCTCTACTTCCTTAAATTTAAACTAAAACTGAAATTTTGCATTCTTTCTGCATTCACTCTTAATTCAGTCCTGAATGGACCTCAGTGGACCACAGATGTTGACAGAGAGCCCATAATGTGTAATTTCCTTGCCATCAGCTGAACCAGGACTGAATCATGCAGGCCCATTTTTTTAAATCACCACAGAGCCGTAGTGTTTGCACTGCTAAGAGATTCAGCCATTTAGAGGGCTGTCCCATGGTTTTTGGGAACCAGATAAAATGGTTTATTGATACGGCTAAACATTGTTTACAGTAAATAATAACTTATATTTTCATCCGTTCACTGCTCATGTGATTGCGACATGTCAGTTTCTATGAGTGGACCCATTTAATGTCACTGGTGTGTCTCTTTGACTAGTGCATCTTTGAGCCTATATTCAGTACAGTATGAGTAAAATACTTAAAGGCAGAGTAAGTGATTTTTCAAAAACACTTTAGAAAACTGATTCGGGCCGAATCGCAAAACAAACTTGTAGCCAATCAGCAATAAGGGGCGTGTCTACTCGTGATGTGGAGGAGAGAGCTTTCAGTGCATGGGACGGACATTAGCCGAGCCGAGCGACAGAAAGACAGAGATGGCGGATAAAAAACAAAAGAGGAAAACGTCTGCGGAACGATAAGGCAAGAAGTAGGACCCGTGTAAATATCAGATCAGCTTTCCAGCGCTGGAGAGAACTCAAGGAGCGGAGGCCTGCGATCGGACGCCGAGGTTGCTTTGTTTCTTCTCAATAGGTGAGTAACACCGTGTCTACAACAACTAAAGTCTGCCTACACTGGACGCGATCAAACGACCGTTGAAAACCATTTGAAATTTAGGGGCGTGTTTGTTTTGGTGATTTCAAATATCAACATTGGCTACCAGAAATCACTTACTCTGCCTTTAAGTGGGTCTTTATGGATGAAAATATATAAATGTTAGGATGGGGGGCCCTCGCAGGTGGATGGTCATATTTGAGTACAGGCACTGTATAACCATAATATATAAATATTGGGTCTCTTTAAACAGAGTAATAAGCTTCCAAAGTCATTCTTTTAAAAAAAATTAATAGTTTTACTGTTGTAATAATAGCGTATTAATGTAAGGGTAACGATGAGGACGCACGTCACAGTCTGTCAGCCAATCAGCGTGCGAGAGAAGCGCCTCACGCGCGCGCCGTCAAGCCCACCTGGCACGCGCTCTGTCGCTGCTCTAATGCTTCATATGTGCATATAACACTAT